GTGTAGTGACGGGGACACTATACTGTCAAAAAGCACCATCCTTCGGATGAGACGTTAAACTGAGGTCCTGACACTCTGTGGTCATTAAAAATCCCAGGATGTCCTTCAAAAAAGAGTAGGGGTATAACCTCGGCATCCTGGACAAATTTGCCCATTGGCCTCTGACCATCATGGCCTCCTAATCATCCCCATACACTGATTGGCTTCATCAATCTGACTCCTCCACCAATAAGCTGGTGTGTGGTGGGCGTTTTGGCGCACTATGGCTGGCGTCGCATCATCCAGGTGGATGCTGCACACTGGTGGTGGTTGAGGAGATTCCCCCGCTTTCATGTAAAAGCGCTTTGAGTATCCAGAAAAGCGCTATATAGATGTAACTAATTAATTATAATATAAATATAAATAACCGTAATGCTTCTATTGCTTTGCTGCCTTTAGATGCTTATCCCTGAAATGCAGAAGCTGTTTGCATCTAAAAATGAGACGAATATGCTGAAGCTCTGGCCCTTGTTTGTGAGACTTCTAGGGAAGGTAAGATATTTGGTCACCAAATAATGCTCATCACTATTTCAGTTCTGAATCTTGAGATTGTCATTTTGGACAAGTATGGGTTTCTATTGTATGTGTCTCCTTTCAGTTGCTCCACAAAGGCGGTGCTTTCATTAATTCCTTGCTGTATTTAGAGGAGTTGGGTTTCCGCAACTCTTCTCCTAATATTAAGAAGATTGCCTTCATAGCTTGGAAGAGCCTCATTGATAATTTCGCCCTTAATCCAGGCAAGTTTATTTTTTTCCCTTTGTATTTAGGTGTAATGGTCACAGTCACTGAAAACGTAGGAACATCAGAGAATTACATAGTTTGCTTTGTGGAAAGTCATTAAAATAAAGTTGTTTTTATGTTTCTCTAGGTATGGATAAAATTGCATTTTGGAGTGAATGTTTAAGAATGCTTATCCAGTAACCTCAGATGAGATGGAAATTCATTGGTCAAAAGATGTGGGAACCTTTTGGACCCATATAGCAATAGTTCAAGGCTTTTTTTTTTTTTTTACCTCTTTGCTTTTTCTCAGCTGTTGTTTTCTAAGTTGTAATGGTTTCTCTTGAGCAGATATCCTGTGCAGCAGCAAGCGTCTAAAGCTCCTCATGCAGCCCCTTAGTTCCATCCAAGTCAGGACTGAAACTCTTCTGCTCACTAAGCTGGAGGTGTGGTGGTACCTTGCAGTCAAGCTCGGACCCAACTTGTCCGCTAACTTTGAGCAGGTAAGTTTCACTGTGTTTTACATTGATGAATAATGCTTTTTGGTGCTTTCAGATAGTTGTAACCATTGTATGGCCATGGTCTTACTAGTTACTGAGAGCAATGTATACCTCTATCCCTTCTTTCCATCACTCTCTCTTAAAGGTTGGTGTACCACTACTGCACAACACACTTCCTTCTGATTCTCCACTGCCGAGCCCGACTACACCTGCTCGAACCTCTAACCCAAGCAATGGCACCCCTAACACCCCTAAATCAGGTACAGGTCACTTCCTCTCATTGTGCTTTCATTTTATAAAGGGGATACAATGAGATTACATCCTTTAAATTCAGCATGAAGTGGAAATTCACCCCATATATTTTCTAAGTTCATGTTTATAAATCTTACTGTGTTCAATTTGTCCATGCATATGTTTAATTTTTTACCCCGACCTCATAATTTATCAAAGTCAATCTTCCGCACTGACAGCCTTCTCTCTAATGATGCTTACTGGACTTCTTCAATCATTTAGTCAGCTTAAATCCTTCCTCTCCACAATCAACTGCAAGCTCAGATCTGCCTCCATCCAGTCAACAGCTGATGGATAGAATCAAAACCCCACCCTACATATTTTTTATTTTGAAAACTTAATGCTTCATCTTTCTGTTCTCCAGGCATTCCCTCCTGCAGCACACCAAGCATTACTCCTCGCATGAATCTGAACAGCAGTATGCAGGCGGCTCAGTCCTACCGCTCCATTCAGCTCCTGGGTCTAGAGATGCTCCTGCACTGGCTTGTGGGTCCGGAGGTTACAGTCAGCTTTCATTTTATAAAGGGGATACAATGAGATTACATTCAGATTATAAATTCAGCATGAAGTGGAAATTCACCCCATATATTTTCTAAGTTCATGTTTATAAATCTTACTGTGTTCAATTTGTCCATGCATGTTTAATTTTTTACCCCGACCTCATAATTTATCAAAGTCAATCTTCCGCACTGACAGCCTTCTCTCTAATGATGCTTACTGGACTTCTTCAATCATTTAGTCAGCTTAAATCCTTCCTCTCCACAATCAACTGCAAGCTCAGATCTGCCTCCATCCAGTCAACAGCTGATGGATAGAATCAAAACCCCACCCTACATATTTTTTATTTTGAAAACTTAATGCTTCATCTTTCTGTTCTCCAGGCATTCCCTCCTGCAGCACACCAAGCATTACTCCTCGCATGAATCTGAACAGCAGTATGCAGGCGGCTCAGTCCTACCGCTCCATTCAGCTCCTGGGTCTAGAGATGCTCCTGCACTGGCTTGTGGGTCCGGAGGTTACAGTCACAGCAGCTAGAGAAAATCTTCAGCTCAGTCTGGGTAATCATACATATAGTATTGTCAAGAGCTTTTAATGTTGTTGTTTTGTTTTTTTTTAATCCGTGATTCTTCTGAGTTAAAGTGGGTCCAACTTGAGTCTGTACAAAGTTAATGTGAGTGTCATTTTATTAGTAATCTATAGATGTTCATATGTTAATACAGTAGGGATGCTCATATTGACCGTTTAACTGTTAACCAAAAGTAAGAATTTTAACTGATTAATACTATCAGTTAAACAGTTTAAAAGGTTTTTTTGGTACTTTTTCCCCCGCAAATATTTAGTTTGCTGCATGGTAAGAAAAAATAATGCTATACATACAGTATTTGTTTACTCACGTGCAGGGTGCATACAGGCATATTTCGCTGATCAAGGACCTGCTTCACCTTCACTTAGTTAACTGATGTATATGTAACACAATGGCAAGTGGCACTATTGGATAAATGGTTATCAGAGAGGGAATCCGTGAGTGAATGCATGTAAATTCTGAATGGATTATAGCCTATTGCGCAATGTGCGCTCCCCTCATAATCACTCATCTTACTGTAGATCATCGTGATCTCACAAAGTTATTTAAAAATAATCAAAGAAGCATTACACTGCACAATTAATCTCTTATTTACATCATGTCTACACTTTTTGTTTTAATGGGAGAATTCGCGAACGTGCTTGTCTATTCTGTTTTTATTTAATACTAATTTATTATTCTAAATTAGTCAGTTAACGGTTAATGTTCGGATAACAAGCAGCGGTTGTCGGTCAGGAAAATTAACCGTAATGAGCATCCCTAGGGTTTGTACACTTATGAAAAATCTGAAAAAGTCTGGTAATTCCCAGTCATGGAAATTTAAATAGAATATTTTTGATATGATAAATAAATAAATGATAATATTTGTTAAACATTTGATAAGATCTTTTTAATTTAACCACGAAGCTAGATCATAGATATTTGTCTCAAGTCATGGACATTTATTGGTTAAAATGTGTATGGACCCTGTTAATACAGCTTGATATATTGAACCTTATTATTGTAATTATATGCTAACAGTGTCAGTGTACCATTTGTTTCCAGAGCCCCTGACGCACCCGCTCTTTACCAGCCCTTCCTCCTTCAGTAGACATGCCTCCACCCTCATATCAGCCGTCAAAGAAGGCTTCATTACTGTGGGAAAACACGCTCCAGGTATTCAACATAATCTGCACAATGTAGCCTGGATTTAAGAGGCCAACTTAAATTTTGTCTTAGCTGTTTCTCTTATTGACCTGCTTGGAAGCAAATGTCTATTATTATTATTATTGATTTCCACCCTGCTGTTTGAACACATTTTCATTATTTCATTATTTGCTGCAGCTTTTGTTGGAAGCCACTGTTAAGGGAATACCTCCGAAGGTGCTCGGTTCTGCAGCTTATCAAGTGGCAAACATGGATGTGTTAAATGTAAGTGCCTTTTTAGCCCTTATTGTAAAGCCTTGCTAAATTTCTCAACAAATTTTGAGATTCTCTTTTCCAGGGTACCCCTGCACTTTTCCTAATACTGCTGTTCTACAAGAGTAACCAGCTCTCATCCTTTCTTGAAGATGAGAGGTAAGCATAAATCCTGCAAAATAAGTATTTTTTTTCCAGAGATTTTTTGCAATAAACCTTTTAAAAGAGCGATATTACTCCTATTTCTGTTTCCATTGAGTTTGTTTGCTTTAACTGGGGCAACATGTTCTTTCATCTGGCAGGTTTTTTTCAAGCCTGGAAACCCTTGTGAGCTGTGGGTTTTGTGGACCTACATCGCCCCTGGCATTTGGAGAGGCTGTTTTAGGAGCGATTAGTGGGAGTGTGGAGGCTGTTAAGAACAAGAAACGGCTCTGGAGGATGTGGAGCGCGGTGGTAAACCCTCTGACGGACACCATCACTCGGGTATTAAACTCAGATCATCAGTGCTATAGAATGAATGTGCATTTCAGTGCCAGTCAAACCTCGTATTTCACTAAGCGATAAATCATCGTTCCAACACAGACCAATGAAGTTAATCAAGGAGATGCTCTGGAGCATAACTTCAGTGCCATTTACAGTGCCTTGATGTTCCCAGTCATTCACCTGCTGCCTGGTTCGCCCCTACCCCAAGTAAGAGATCATTTTGGCTACATTGCAGATGCTTTCTGCAGTATTATGCAAATGCTTCATATGACATTGACTTTTTTTAATAGACCACTCAGAAGGCCATGATCGGTACGTGGTCCAGGCTTTACAAGGCGTTTGCTCGCTGCTCAGCTTTGGTAGCCACAGCGGAGGAGAACATATGCTGTGAAGAGCTGTGCGCCAAGATCTCTGCCTCTCTTGACACCGACGCTCTGAAAGTATGGCCTTTCCAACGATGTAGTAAAGTGGAAGATTTATTCAGTTGTGCACCTAATTGGAGTATTAATTTATATATATAATATATTTTTTGTCGTTTTAGAATCTGCCAATGTTAGATGCAATGGCACATATCTTGCTGGTCATCATTGAGAGTATGGACTTCTCTCCTTACACCCCACAGTTCCAGCAGAAGATGAAATGTAAGGCTTTTGCTTCAGTTTCAAGTGGCCAAAGTTGTGTAATGGCACTGTCACTATTTTTTTCATGTTCATATTCATAGCTCCTCATACACCTTTGAGTTGGGTACGCAAGAGGAGCAAAGCTCTGGGGAATCTCTCGACCTTTCACACTCTCCTGATGCAGACTCTAGATGCTTTCCTGTCTGTGGACCTCTCAGAAGCATCTGTAGAGTCCACCAGTGGAGTTTTCAGTGGAATTGGCTTGACGCTGGTCTCTAACTTGTCAACACTTTTCACTAATATCACTCTACCCACGTTCATTCAAGAGGTGCTGTCCACCCTCACCAAACCACTCGCGCGCCTTTTTGAACAGTTCTCCAGGTGTGCGACATTTTCTTATCCTTCATACTTTGAGCATTCTTTTTTTCATTGTCTAACACTGTTTTTTTTTTCCTTTTATGAAAGTCATGATGAACCATCAAAGCTCAGTGCGACACTAGGACCCAAGGTAAGAATTACCATGTGAATTTGAAATCGAAACCACAGGTCTGATGTGTAGTCCTTTAATTTGTGACACTGGACCACAAATCTAGCCATAAGGGTCAATTTTTTAAAATTGAGATTTATATAGCTGAAAGCTGAATAAATAAGCTTTCCATTGATGTATGATATTTGTTAGGATAGGACAATATTGGGCTGAGATACAACTATTTGAAAATCTGGAATCTGAGGGTGCAAAAAAAATCTAAATTGAGAAAATCGCCTTAAGTTGTCCAAATTAAGTCCTTATCAAAACTTAACTTCTGATTAGTAATATACATTGCTATTTATGGTAGGAAATTTACAAAATATCTTTATGGAACATGATCTTTACTTAATATCCTAATGATTTTTGATCATATACCCTTATGACTGGTTTTGTGGTCCAGGGTCACATATGTAGAGTTAGGTAGGCATATTTATTTATTTGCTATCTGTCTTGTAGTTTGAGAAACTGGCCACAGACCTGCTTGGCTGCCTTCAGACGCAATCAACTCTGCATGATGATGAGATGCTTGCCATGTTGTCGCCCTTGCTTTGTGTGCTTTTTCCGCACAAGAGCAAGCAAATTCGTACTGTGGTCACGCAGTTCTGGAATGCCACCTTTGGAAATGCACTCACCTTGACTTACCCTGAGCCTCTCAAGTACGTTTTCATGCCATTGTTGGGAATTTTTGTGTAAAATGTATTATAGGCACATTTTTCAGATCTTTAATTCAGCAAGTATGCTTGTCTTAATTCGTTTTTATATATATATATATATATATATATATATATATATAGTATTGTTACCACAATATTTGTTCATGCCAACAGAAAGTTAAATCTGATATAAACTAATTTTATATGGTTCTATTTTTCTGCACCGCTGAAACAAGAGAGACCTTAACTTGGATTCTGTAGGAGTGCTCCAAGTTATTT